GAATTTGGATTGGTGATGATAATTGGAGCTTGTGGCAACTCGTTGAATTTGAAAATATGCTAGTTTTTGTCAGTTCTGTTCGCGTACTGGCCATAATGAGTCCTCTAGTCACAAAAAGTTTCTAGAGATGAGGGTTTCAAAGCCCCAAAATAAGGGTTTCTGAACGGCGACATGGAATCCAGAAATTTTATATTTCGAAGGTTAATCAGGCGAAGAATGCCAATTTAGTTCAACAAGCTGATGTCCCTTTGTTAAACCCTAGTGGCCGCTTGGAGATGGATGAATTTTTTATTCTTGGAGTGAAGCTGCATTTGATACCTTTGTTTATGCAAAGTGTACGCGAGCTGAACGGCATTGCTTATAGGCTGGTTTGTCTGATATTACTTCATCTATTGGCGATCGCCTGTGGGTAGTTGGGGGGGGGGGGACTTTAATGTTATATCCTCTTTGGAGGAATACTGGCCATGCGCCTCAGGATTTACAAGCAATAGCAGATTTTAACAAATTTATCTCGGCTGCTTCATTAACACAAATTTCCGGCTGTGGGTGGTAAATAAACGTGGACTGGAGTTAGGTATGGTGTGCGCATTTGGAAGCTTTGGAGTTTGGATAGAGTGATGGTAAGTGGATAGAAGATGAAGGACAAATTAGTCAAGTCACAATTTCTTTCTTTCAAGATTTGTTTAATCAAGATGTTCAAAATCATGATATGGCGCGGCTCAAGAAAGACTTCTTAATTGTATTCCTCGGGTTATTTCTTCAGAGAAAATTTCAGTGTAAGAAATAAAAGAAGCTATTTTCCAACTGGATGGTCAAAGTGCTGCGAGGCCAGATGATTTGGTTTCACTGGTTTATTCTTCACGCATGCTGGGACATCATTCTTTTTTTTTTTTTTTTTCTGGTCATTCGTCACTCATCTATACTATATTTACTTCTACTCCTACTCTAGTCTAATCTAAGAGGGGAGGTCCAACTAGACCTACGAAAAAATCGACAGAAACTGAATCACCATCGGATCAAACGGATCCACTAAACATCCGTATGGATTTAAGGAAACTACATATTATGACAAATGATGGGAGACAAGATTTGAACCTTAACCTTCCATCCCACCCAGACTTAAATCTTTGGTGGTGGCCAACAGCCATTTGGGCTGCTGGTTTTGGTGGGACATCATTCTTCTGATTTAGTTGATGCTATTAATGATTTTTGGGCTGGTGTTCCTATCGCTTATTGTTTTAATTCCCAAGAAGGATACAGTCGCCTCATTTGCTAATTTTCAACCTATAAGTCTTTGTACATTTCTACGTAAGCTTTTTACTAAAATTTTGTGTAACAGACTTAAACCGTTGCTGCCTTTCTTGATTTCAGATGAACAACAGTCAGCTTTTGTTAAAGCAAGGGATATGCCGACAATATATCTTATTGGCTCAAGAGCTGGTGCATTCCATTGATAAGAATGAGGTGGTTGCTTCCCACGCACTTTAGACCTATTAGTAAGGTTGTATTTGTTATTGTGATATTTTTTATATTTTGCATGATGAAAAAGATTGTGTTCAAGCAAAAGTAATATATATTAGTTCAAAAGAGCATCTATGCACTGATACAAAAGATGAAGGTAGTGCAGTACTGATGGTTCAAAAGAAAGAAAAAAGCGTGGTGTTTACATATGTAGCAGTATAGTTGATTCAAAAGATATGGCACAAGGTGCTGCAGTGCTGCACCTTGACTTCCAAAAGCTAAAACCAAGCAGGAACAACTACAAAACATATCCCATTTATTTTGAGTGCAAGGCATGTCTAGGCATTACAGTTCCTGCTGAAACTTAAGCACAAGTCTGAGGTGTGAACATAATCTCATATATGGTAGAAAAATATGTGCATATGGAACATTTTATCATTTATTAAAAGGACATCAATGTTCAACACGAAAGAATGAGAGCACAAGGCAGAGGTGTGAACATAATTATATATGGTAGAAACAATATGCACATGGAACCGTTAGCTTAAATGATCAAAACACACAGCTGGAATTAATACCGTTAGCTTAAATGATGTCAAGGGCTAAAGATTCATTGTGACTGCCATAAATAATCATAGGATGATTACTAAAAAGCAATTATAATGCTAGAGACATTGATCATTAAAAAAGTAATAACTCCCTATAAAACTCCAAGAATTATGTGTAACTCCCTGAAAAAAAGAAAGCAATAACTGACCAGCTAGGTCAAGCTTGTGTCCACATGTTGGGCTTATAAGCCTTATTTGGGGACAATAGTCGCAGTAGAAGCCGTTGCATGTATTTGTCTGGGTATTAGTAATATAGATTTACTATTAGGATATTTATTATTCTCTGCTTCTTGAACATACTGTAAGGACATTTGTAAAAGTATAAGCTACACTTGTACTGGACTGATACAACTTGAAAATTGTTATTTTATGCATATTGTGCTATTTAAATAAATAATCCCCATCAATTCTAGATTTCACATTATCTGCATCCTAAATGAAGCATAAGCTCAACTCAATGCTAAGCTGATAGGAAATGTCTACAAGGCATAAGTTATTCAACAGGATGCTTTTCAATGGGCAAGCTTCCTTTTCTTGTTAGGCCATTTTCAACCTTGAAACCTTTTGAGATCAACCACGGCGAAATAGTTGGACACTCCTGGCGAAATACAGAACTACTCGAGCAACTGTGTAACTGAAAACATAATAAGAGCCTGAAGCAAGTTCAATAAAGTGAAATGAACATCAAGCAATGATCAATCATTTTTTTTCTCATCTCCCTTTCTTCTTTCCTCTTACCCTCCCTTTCTAAAAAACACGTTGAGAAGAATCAAATAGTACCTGTTCTTGCAGCTGTAAGTGCAGCTTTGGCTTTAGGTAGATTCTTGAAAGAGAAATGAAGCTTCCTTTCTAGCAAGTGAATGTCTCCAAGAAGCAACTTGTTATCTAATCTTCTCGCGTCATTGATTGGTCCAGAAAGGAGAGCCAAAGCTTCAGAATACTCTTTGTTCTCCATCAAAAGAGCTGCGAGTTTTGCCTCAGTGCACAGACAAAGGAAATTTTGGTTCTCATTACGCGTCCATTGTACAATTTTCTTGCATAGGGCAATCTGAAGATTAGATGTGCCAGGTAGTTTGGCCAGCGTATCAAGAATTCCACGAACAATTTTGGACTTTTTGCTTTGGGGATCAAGGAAAAGAAGGGCTGAAGTTGTGTCAGAAGGTTATTAAGTTTTTTTGCCTTATTTTCCTGTCTAAGCAAATCAGTGAGATTGGAGATGGGCTGCTCCTTTATTGTTAAGGCCTCTGGAGAAGATGAAAGGTTGGCAAGTATGTGGTAATAGATAGAAATTGGCTCAGAAGGGCTAGTGGCTTCAGAAGCTTGTGTAAGTAAAGGAGTGGTAGCTGGCAAGGAAGATGTAGACATGGTAACGTCTCAGATGTTTGGACACATGTGATTTAAGATAGAATTTAGGATTACATAGCTTGTAGAAAGCCTGGATGCCGTATCTTTAAGCCCAAATTGAATTACAGAATGCAGTTATAAATATGTAACCAGAAATCAATAGAAGAAAACATGAACTCTCAAAGTAACACAAGACTAAGAGACAACAACTAAGCAGGAACAAGTATAAAACATATCGCAGTTATTTCAAGCGCAAGGCATATCTAGGCATTATTGGTGCGGACTTTCCACAATAACTGGAAGCTCTTCTCCATTCGTATGCATCTCTCACAGATTTTGTTTTGAATTGACACATAAAGATTTCTTTTAATCCAGTATTAAGGCAGCGAAGCAGTAAACTCAAGACCTTCAGATAAAGGCAAAATACTAAACATTTATGCTCTTCTCCATTTGTATATATTTCTTACAGAAGTTTGCTCTGAATTTACACATAAAGAGCTTTAATCACCATTAAGCTAGTTAAGCAGAAATCTCAAGAAATCAATATAAAGGCGAAGCACTAAACATTCATACTACAGCTTTCATTTCCGGCAAAACTGAATTAGATACCCTTCTTACTTTGTTGTTGGTTCATAGAAGGCGTCGATGCAGCTTTCCTTGCTTTCCTCTTTTGATAAGCTCCCCTCTGTTTAGCTTCTTTTTCTTCTACTGATAAGGAAGCAGTTTTCCTCTTAATTTTCGGTTGCAAAGAATCTTCTTATTCGTTAAATGTGCAAGCACATCACTTGAAGACACTATACACTGAATATTCAAAGCTAACACTAAGCATGACAATAACAAATATAGTTTAGAGCTCACAGCATAAATAAGGGCAAAAAACAAAGATTTAGCATAAAGGAGGTAGAACCTAGATATGAACTTATGCAAAGCAATAACAAAGGTAGCAGGATAGAGCAGCGAGCTGTGGATGCAGAAAATAAAAGCAGAGGAGTAATGAATGCATGCAGCAGGAGAACACGGAGAAGAGGACTTGCAAAAGGGGAAAGGCGTTCTCTAGAGCACTTGATGGTTTTCCTTGATCTCTATCAGAAGGGTTCTTGCAACTTCAAGTTTAACTTAGACTAGTAATTCATAAAGATGTTTGTGATCAAGAATTAGTTGAAAGGCATGAAATTAATTTGAGCATTTAGTAAATTAAGAATATCAATGAAAAACAAATGAAATTATAGACGTTTTGTTTTTGTGTTAGGTACCCTTCATAATATGAAAGTACCTAGTGGGGATTGATTTTGATTTTTAGGGTGTTAGAATGGAACTGTTAATATTTATTGGGGATGATTGACTTGCAATATTTAGGGTGTCATAGGAGAATAATAGGAACTTGGGGGAGTTGTTGTGGAGACACACAAATAAGGAAACACCACTCTGCAATTCTAAGCTCTCTGTTCACCGGATACGCTCGGTGCATACCACTTTTACGGCCTCTTCCGCCCATAGACGGTAGACATGGACTACGAGCTTTTAATTTCTTTTCACGAAAATCAAAGCACCAACAGTCGGATCAAGCTTCATTGCCGGAGGTAGAGCTCGGGCAGTCCTGTAATGTTTTATTTTTACTTTGTTCCCTATGCATTAATTAGTGTCATTATATTTTTTTGATGTTCTATGCTTGAGCCTTGTTGATGTTTGAAGATTGGAACTGAAATTAGTTATGGGATTCGATTGGTGAAAAAAATTGGGCATTATTTATGAACAAGTTTGAAAAGAAATACACTAATTTCTTCTCTACGCCTGTTAGCTATTTGAACAAACGCCCAAATGAGGAAAAACATGCTTGCAAGAACGCATCCTCACAAAAGAGGATACATAAGCGGCAATCCCATGATTTCTCACCAATAACATAAATATTTTGCCAAATAACCACAAATACATTAGCTACTTTTGTTTTGTTATTCCTCAACACCCCCCTGTTTCAGCTTTATCAGTCCCTTGGAAGATCGATTTTTCGTCCATTAGAGCTGTTGTATTGGGACACTCACTTAATTTTTTTGATTGAAAACCATGAAATATATGGAATGGTTGAGCGGCAGAAAGAGTACAACATGTTAGAAATTGAATATTCAACCTCCATATCATCCCTTGGAGTTAGAAATTGAACTATACAATCAGTTGCTGGTGCTTCGTTCATAATTTTTTCTGTTATTCCCTCTTTTTTTTTAATTTTTTTCCTTTTTGGCTTAAAGATAGATGATTTGCTTGATGTTTTGTTTTCTTTGTCAATGTATGGTTTTGTGAGAGAAGATGAAACAGCTTGAGAGTGCAGCCGTGCTTATGATTTCTTCAAATTGGGAGTCATTCTGTAGTACTTTTTCACTCTAGGATTGCCTTGATTAGAGCTGTAAACGAGTCGAATTGAACCAAGTATCTCATGTTTGGGCTCTGTTCGTTAAGCAATTCGAACAACGTTCGTGTTCGTTCGTTAACTTTCGAACTCCAAACCTGTGTTCGTGTTTGGCTCATTAAGCAAAGTTCATATTCGAGTTCGAATTCGTGTTCGACTCGTTTAACATAAACGAGCCGTTCGCGAACATGCTCGAAAAGCTCGAATACAAATTATTTTAAGCCTTAAATATGCAATACAAATCATTAATCATCCTCAAAAACAATTAAAGCACTAAGTGACTAAATAATATTATTCATTAACTATATAACTAGCATTAACATAAAAACAATAAATAAAACAAAGCAATTTGCCCTCCACATATAAAAGTCGAGCCATAAAATTAGCCCTAAAATTTGTCAAATGGTAATTATGTCAATGTTCATGAATGTTCGTTAAAACTCGCGAACATGCTCGTGTTCACTCGATTATTAATCGAATAAAAAAATTCGTTCAAACTCGATTCGTTTAAGGTTTCGAACGAACCTTTCACGAACATGAACGAGTCGAAACGAACCAAACTACTGAACAGTTCGGTTCATTTAACAGCTCTAGCCTTGATAAGATTTTTGTGGCTTTGAATATTAGAATATATTGGAAAGTGGCAGTAGGTTGTTTCTCTTTTGTGCCCATTTCATTTGCTAGACATTTTTGCTCCTGTCACCTTAGATCACAGAACAATTGACCTGTGTATCTGTGTACTATTGACTAGAAATGAAATTGCAAGTATACGGTGTAATGCAACTCACTATTTATATTTTATAGTTATCCTCCTTACTTTGTAGCACAAACAATATGAAAATTGGTGTTTCCATCCCTCTAAGTACCTCAATTACAGAGTTTATTAGGGTTCTTGTCGTCCTCAGACACCTGCCACCCTCGACTTTTTAGGTATCCTGTTTTCCTGTCGCTTTATTTTTGGTGACTTTTTTACAAGTTCTGAATGAACCCTGTTTCCAGGAACAACCTCCAAAAAGTCCCCTCTGGCTTTCGCCACCACTGCACCCTTTTAAGAATCACCGCCCGAAACAGCATCGTGTGCGAAAGTCGTGGATATGACATATGAGTTAAACTGCAAGCGTAGTTATTAGCATTATTAAAGGTAATGGGTTCTGAATTTGAAGTAGTTGAGGAGAGATTGAAGGCTTTTTTGGGTCAGCTGCATACAGAATTTGGAATTCTTAGTAATTTGATATGGAGGCTTTGAAAAGTTAAATTGGAAGTTGAATGCAATTTAATGTATGATTAGCAGTGATTAGACTGTTACTTGCTGTTGCATTGCACATATCTAAACTTTTGGCCTTTCATTGCTTCAATTTGTAATTCTGTTTGCATCCTGTTTTACACTGGGGTTCAGTTTAAAATGGAGAAGGTGTGATGGAAGTAAATATAACTTTTTGGAAAGGCTTGTTGAGGTTGCACGTTTACTATCAAAGGTAGTACATTTGTTTGTGATTTGTTGTTCATAGTTGTGTTTTCTTTAAACTGTTATTCTACCTTCAGTTGTCTACGTGCCTCGGTCGAACTTGTGACATCAAAAGGCGAGGCATGCCATAAACAATGATCTTACATCTGTGCTTTTCAAAATTTTTCATTGTTTTGATGTCCAAATCTGTCTAAGTCAGTGTCCATCAAAATCTTTGGACCTTAGAGGATTGAAGTTGGTTGATTTCAGTGTCTTCCATTGTTCCTATGTTATCTTCCTGTAGTAGCAAATTATTAACAGATCATTGTTGCTGTCTTTCTTTACCATCCTCCTCCATCTACTTCTTTGGTATCATTGTCCACAAGAGAAATAGAATTAGCTGGAATCTTTATTCTTTCCCAAGGAAGCATATCTGCTGCTTCACCTTACACCACAACTACCAGTAGGAGAACTAGAGTGAAGATGTGGTCATTTTCAATTTCTTGTGGGGCTTTTAATAGATTACTTTCCTTTTGGTCTATTTATATCCAACAAGTACTAAACTTTCCCTCTAGTTGAAAACATGATTAGAAGGGATCAGTATGCTCTGATTCATGAAACTATCTTCCCAATTGTGCTCTATCTCTGTTGCAGATGGTTGAGCCAATGTTGAAGGCAGCTGTGTATCCTTTGGTTGAGTTTTTGATTTTGTATGTAGGATCTTGACTAAAGATTCACTTCTGGAAATTAATGGGTTCATTTATCCTAGATTCCCTACTCATTTCACACCCTTTATTTTCTTTTCAATTGGTTCATGTTAATCTTTTGAAATTGAATGTCTTGAAGGGTTTCTGCTTGTACCAGTTTCAAAGTGACATCTCAAGTGTGTGAACTAATAATGTGGAGCAACATTTTGCGCTATTTATGTGGTTTCCTGTTGGTTGTGTCTTTAATCAAGCTAATTTTGACTTTGTTTTTTATATTCTTATACTTAACTACTTCTCTGACTTAAGATCTCCTGGCATATAAAAGAAGCATCCTATCGTAATCAGACATGGGATATGAGTAGAATTATCACTACTTACTCTAGTTTACTCTTCTTCATAGTTGCAGATTAATATTGGATCCTTTATTATTTTGCTTTCTTTGTCTTGACATTCATGGTTCAGTTAATCATGTAGGAAATTCCTCCTGATGGTTGGTATTATTGCGTAGGATTTTTTAGTGCAGTCTTGCATGGTCCTTTCATATAGTTTTCATCTGTTTTTCCGTGACAACTAACAGAGATATATCTGAACTGCTTTCTCAATCATTCTTCATGGGATTTTCACTGACAATTTTGTCACTGCTTGCACGCCTTCGAGTCTTGATTCAACAAGTAAGTGCTGTTTGTTTCTTCAATGAGCTTAGTGATGAAATCATATAGATTGAGCTAGTTGGAGGATGATATACTTGTAATCCATGTAATCATGTCGGTGATAGAGATTTGATTTCATAATTATTAGATTTGACAATTTAATTTGACTAAGTTGGCTTGCCATTCCTTTCATGCAGATACTCCTTGATGTTGTTTGTGTATACAACTCCGTTTCTTCTCTATCTCGAAAGGAGCAGGCTATTAAAATAACCGAAGAAGGTTTCGAGGTTATTTTCACTGATTTTGTAGTCTAATGAATTCTTTTGCATCAGTTTATAGTAGTAGTTACTGTTTTATGGACCTCAGCTTAAAGAGATTATTTCCTTTTCGAGTAAAGTTTGCCTATTCATTTGAAACATCCTCTTTTCTTATTTGGGCACTGTGCAGGTATTTAGGGAATATTATCCTATAAAGGAGCAATTTATCTCCTTAGATTGCATTTGGCAGACAGATAAGTGTGTACTAGTTGAAAAAAAATGAATGAAGCTGAATCCAAAGCCAAGGAAAGGATGGCAGGGAAAGATGTTTCGCAAGGGGCATCTGCAGTACAGTATCAGAGCATTGAGGTTTTGGTTGGAGGTAATTAAAGATTAGGCCTCAGAGGAAATTACTTCAGCTATCTCTCTTCATTTCTATAACCAACGTTTAAGAAATATGAAGCAACGCTTCACAATGTTTTGCTTTCATAGAGTAGAGTACCTTTACTTCTTCATGCCAATCTTGTTACCAAAGGTATCAATCACCTTTAAAGAACTTAACGTTATGCTTCTGGTTCTCCTAGATTATGAAACTGTTAAGGCACATCCTGAATCACAGATGACAATTTGTTTCACTTGTACTCCATTACTTTTTGCATGCAACTAGAAAATTAAACATTAATAAACTGATAGATTCTTTCTTTGTGAAGAAGAATGTAGGACAATAGTACCCCGTATACCTTTTTTTTTTTTTTGTTGATACGATAGATTATTAACATATCTAGTCTATGCGGGAATGGGGAACTTTTCAATTGCGTTGTGATTGCTGACGTGGCGGGCTTCCATTGGCCGATTGGTGGTCGTCCGCTTCGTGTGAATTCGCTCGCGTGAATTGGTTGTCCAGCCGATTGTTTTTTCTCTTTGTTTGCTTGGACGTCTGGCCTGGAAGTTTGCAGCTAAATTCTGGTCCCACGTGGCTTTGGTTGGCTTTGCTTTGTTTCTTTTGTTTTTTTTTTTTTTTCCTCAGACCTTTAGCAATCCTTTTGCCTTTTGTTTACCCGTGCCAATTTCCAATTGATGGCCGTCCATTCCCACGCGTGAATTCTTTGTTTTTTGTTTGCTCAAACGTTTAGCAATTCTTTTGGATTTTGTTTCTTTTTTTTTCTCAGACGTTTAGCAATACTTTTTTTCCAATTGATTGTTCGTTAGCTGATCAATAATTTCATTTTTTATTACCTAACACATAACATTTAACTTTCAACTTCTTACAATTATTAACATTTTTGTAGTTTCCAAATAAATCACAATTAATTATCAAATTCTTGTAATTGACACATATTAATTATTAACACATATTTTTTTTTCGAATATAAGAGGGGAAGGCATTCACCTATTATTATCAAATTTTCATTACAGCTTTATTTGGTATTGATTCTACATAAACAATCAGCAATGTAGTGTGCTTCCGCTGGTGTCATTTATCGTTTATTCACGCCACGCACCGCGTTTAATTATCGATTCTCCACTATTAATTGTTATAACTATTTATTTATCTATTTTTATTTGAATTCCATTTTTTTACCCAATCAATCACATTTTTATTGCCAATTTTTTTTATTCATTGTTAATAGCTAATTAATGATGTCATTTTTACTTGTTATTTTTTTTACCTAACAAATCACATTTAGTTCATGACTTTTTTGAAACTATTAAAAAAAACATTTTTTTTGCCTCTTCACAAAATCGCATTTAGTTACCTTTGTTTTTCCAGATTTTATTAAGAAAATGTTCACCTTTATCTTGGGTTGCCCCACAAATCAAGTTTAATTATCGACTTTTTAAAATTGTTCTTTTTAAATTAGCCCCTAATTTTGCAGTTTTATTGCCAGACAAATTCCTTTTAATTGCCGAATTTTATAGTTATTGAAATTTTTTACCTAACAAGCCGCATTTAATTACCAGCTCTGGGTAGTTATTAGCCAAAATTTAGCCTCTTTTTTGGGGTTGCGGATCAAATCATATTTGGCTGCCCTTTTTAACAATTGATTGCTAACTAATTAATTAATATTGTTACTTTTTTTTGCCTGACGATTCGCAATTAATTACCTTGTTATTAATTGTTAGTTACTTAATCTGTCTACGTTGCTCTGTCTTGAGAAGACCGCTTCTCATTACTCTTGTCTTCTTTGCTTTTGACGGGCTTAATAGTTAATTGTTTCATAATTAACTAATCTTATAAACTAACACCCTTAATTACCAGGTCTTTGCAACGGACAAATTTTGCTTGTTTAGTTTGGCTGCATCGTTTCTCGATTTCTTCATCCACCGCTCACATTTCCTGTCATCAGCCTCCAGCCTCCTTTTGTTGACAGCTGATTTTACCTGAGTTGAATAATACCTGACTCATTTTTATTATATTACCCATCCTTTCTGCTTCCATTTACGCTTCCTCATAAGAGCCTTTGTAGTCTTTTTTGTCCTTTTTCTGGGGTCATGTCTGTAAATCTGCAATCTGCCGTCGCCTCTTCTCGTTGTCGCCCATCAACTCTTTTGCTCCCGTCGATTGACGTTGTTTTCTGCTTTGCATTTGTACAATGGTTATAGAGTTTCTCCGGCTTTCTTTGCATTTGTACAATGGTCCCAGCAGATTTTCTGCTGCTCAACATCATGAACAGTGGTAATTGTGCATCTACTCCTTTCTTTACCTTTTTCTATTGCTCTTGTTTCTTTGCTAGAGAGAAAGAGCTACCTCATAAACATTCAATTAGGTTCTTCGTTTTCTTTAGCTATTTTGAACTTTCCTTTTCCTGATTTAATGCCTTGGTTCCGATTTGCACTGGTAATGTAATGATTCCGATTTTACAATGGTTCCGATTTCCTCTCAAATCCACCGTTTCTCCATTTTTGTTCTGTATACATTTTTTTCCCCTTGATTAAATTTTCTCTCATTCTCTGATAAGTTTCATATTTTTTGTCACAGGTTGAGAGGTCAGACTATTAACTAAACCATGAAGAAATGTGGAGATTGTTCTCTAAAGGTGAACACTTTCTCTATGATTTTTTTTTTGTTTTTTTGTACATTTTATCTGGATTTTTTCCCTTATATCTCCCTAATAATCTTTTCTGGCCAAGGTATCTGTTGGATAAATAAGAAAGGAAAAAAGGATGCAATCTTTCTCTGTTCGATGGCCGTTTTCTTTCCCGAAATTTGTTATCAACAGATGTGATTTTCTTAGATCTTCAAAAAATCACGTCTAATTTTTTTTTCTTTTGTGATGTTGCGATGTTGCAGGTATGAAATTTGGAGATTTTCTCCATCGTCGTCATGCTATTTTGTAAGTTTTTTCCCCCTTTTGAAGTCCCTTTTCCGTGCCTCTTAATCTTTATTTCCTTTCTATATTTATTGGTTTTATTCCCCAAAAATTTTTGCCTGGTTAATATCTAAATTTCGCCTATATTGTTCCTTATTTCTTTATCCATGCTTTCTCCGAAGACAGGTACAGCCAAGAGAAGATCATCACCGAGAAACATTCTGTGCAATTTTGCTTCCTTGGGATTTGTCCTTCTTCATCTCAGGTTTTCTCTATTTTATTTTTTCATTTTTTTAACTTTTGTACTCTTTTTTAAGTAGTTTCTATGTTACTTATTTCTTTCTTTTGGGTCTCTAGAGCCCCCTATACAAACTTGTATGATATTTATTATAGAAGAAAAAATTACTTGGTAGAGAAACTGAAATAAAAGATTGTCGAGAAACTCTAAAAAATGGAGTTTTCATGGCTCATCTTATGGCTTTTTTTTTTTTTTGGTTTGTTATGTGCAGGGGTGCGTTCAATTATTGACTCACAATAGACGATCCATATGGTAACCAACCCAAAGTCTCCATTTGTGGAGATCAAATTTCATGTCAATGACTGTTGAAAACTTTAGTTATTTTTTCGTGTCTTTATTTTTGATAAAACTATTTTTCTTTTTTTTTCCTTGTGAAGTTTTGGTTCTCATTTTCCGGAGAGTGTATATGGATTCTTTAAAACAAAAGAAAAAAAATACTTTTTGTGTTTTCTTAGTTGCTGATAAAAGCACTGAAACCTATCAAGGAGCCATTAGTTGAGATACTTGTTTTAAGTACATGTTTCCTATATATTTGTATATGCATGAATCTTGCCTGCCCTTCGTCTTTTAAATGAGTACCTTTTATTTTAGGTTTACAAGAATACCATTTTTTGGTTAAATTTTTGTTTATTTTGTTCCTAGAAGATTGGTTTGAGTTCATCTACTGGGGATAACATTTTGGGAATATAAAGTGAATATAGAGTAAATATGGCAGATTGAGTATTAGCCTGTTAATGCAGAGAAATTTCTTACTATCTACTACCATTTAAGTGGTTTACTACATGTTTCTTGCTTATTTGGACTTTACCTTTCGTGAAAATGATTTCAATGTTTATGGGCAATTAAAAGTTTGGTGTGGTAATATGTTGGTCTTTCCAGTTTCTTTATATTCCTTGAAAAGGTAAAGAGAATTTTTTGCAGCTAAAATAACAAAAAGATGTTAGGATTACTTTGCATTTAGATCCTATTTTCTTAAGTCATCTTCTTTTTATTTTACTTTTGGTTATGTTATTAATGTTTTTTATTCTTTTATGTTATTAATTTACTTTGTTCATGTTAAAGGTGCAAATGATTGAAGATGTAGTCACTCCGAAACCAGTTCATGGAATAACAAACTTTGTAAGTTAAAAATGCAGTCCTTTTTTATCTTATTTTATCTTGCTTTTGTGTTGAGCATGGTCACTATTAGCTGGTTTATTCTTAATTTCAGCCTTTCAGTCCTTCACTATTTGCACACCATTAATTCACTGTATTGGAATCATAAAAAATGTATTGGAATTCACTGTATTAATTCACTGTATTGGAATCATACTACTTTGTTTACTATAGAAGGTTTTTTTTTGGTCTCTTATTTTATTTAATTATCTTTTATTACAGCAAGAAACGTGAAGAATTATTCAAAGTTTACTGAGAAAAAAAATGTTTAAGTGGTCAATTTTTTTTAGGCTTTACTCGTCATATATGTACTGATTTGCTCTATGATTTTCTGCTCAGATTTTTGTCAAGAGAGGGAAGAAAGAAAAAATGGTGGTCAATTCTTACTTTTAATCATTATGGGGTTGTACAACTATGCGAAACTTAAATACTTACTGAATTTGTTGTTGACCATTATGATGTTATTGTAAGAAAACTTTTAAGAATTATTGCCATTCAAGAGGTTTACTCTATATTTCTTTTTTATTTAGACTGTCTGTATTGTTTGGGTAAGATAGCATATAAGTTTTTATTTTAGGATATTTTGTTGCCAAGTTTGGATGTGTTTGACATACACATTGTCATGCCTTAGGTAGTGGACATTTGTGGTGTGCATCGAATAACCATTGCCAAGATTGCTTATTTTGTAAATTATAACGATTTGTTTGCATATTTAAATTTGTGAAATTTACTTTACGGGTTTTATTCCTCATCTCACCATTAAATGGTTAAATGGAAACTTTTGAGAGTACAAATAGAGCTTCATGAAAACAAGAAACTAGATTCGGGCATAATTTTGGTGAAAATGGAACAATTTGGTTTGAAAGCAAGATTAAGGATTCTTTGATTTTTCTTTGTATTAGCTTCTCACAATTGCAACAAATTTCTAATGGCCTTGCTTTGATTATGTTCAGGTTCCCATTTTAAACAGCAAGCGAAATGGGACAAAAAAAAAGAAGGCCATGAAAAGAAGCAAGGAGGGAAAATATGGATCTTCATCAGAACATGTATGCTTTTGTTCACTTTTTTTGTGAAATTTAAGCTGGTTCTGTAAGTATTTTTTTGTTTAATTTTTCCCCTGATTAGAAGGAGAAGATGAGAAGAGGAATAAGCAGATGAAGAGAAAAGTATGAATCTTCAGCCCAATCAGGTTATAAGTTTCTTTAATTTAAGCAGTTTTTGTAAGGTTTTATTTTAGTTCAAAATACATTTTTAAATGAGTTTTTGAAATGAAAATGAGGTGAGGCTGATGAAGGGAAAGAACAGATCTTTGGTTTGATTGAATGCTTTAAGTTTTTTCTGTTACTTTTTCTTTGTAACTTGAGCAGTCTTCTGAGTTTCTTTCTTGTTTGCCTTTTTTTTTTATTTCTGACTTTCTATTATGGAATGTGAAGCAAAAAAGAAAGAAGAAATAATAAAATTTCATAGTCCTAAGCGATTTTTTTTTAAAAAAAAAAATTTGTGTGAGTTGCATCTATAGTTGTAGAATTAGTTATTAGAATGATTGAAAAATTGGATTTTGATCGACTCATTGTAGATGGTAAGAGCTTGAAAGTAATTGATCAGATAATGCTTAGGATCACATCAGATTGTTTTTGCTTTGAGTTTTCATTTTTTGTTGGTTTATTCATTGTGTAATTATTTATTATGCTTTCAATAAGATTTGATTTTGATAAGATTGTGTGAGGATTCTAATAGCTTTCAAATGATAAGGTAGATAGTAGAATCATTTATCCTTTTTGGTTTGGGGTTTCATTTCAATTTGTGGGAATTAGGTACCAGAAGAGCTATATTTTGTGTTATCAATGTTAATTATCATTGGATTTGCTAAAATTAGCATTTGTGGTGTACATTTAAAGCTTAAAGTAATGCAATTCAAAGCTTAAAGTAATAAATAGTGCTATAGTGCCACAAAAATTCAAGGCATTAGTTAGACGATTTTAGAATCAAAACAAGGAGGAATAACGAACATCATAGGTTAAGCTTACTATTGCTTTAGGTAGAATAATTTCAAATGTATTGCACTTTGAATATGTCTGAAGATCTACGTTGTATTTGATTGAACTGTTCCACTGATGATGCATTATCCTGTTGGGTTTAATTATTCTCGCTGGTTTTGATTAAGATTGTCTTTGTTGCTTTCTCGATTCCTGAGATATGATCCTTTTTCTTTTGTTTAGAAACATTAAAATTACCTCTCGTGCACTTGAAGTGTGAAGATGCTCATGGATTATTTGCATTAATATCATCAAGAAATTTTGTCAGATCTCGTTGCTTTTGGTTTCTCCTGAGGTACTGTCTTGTCCTTTTACTTATTTCTTTGCTTATACTTTCGGACTATTATTATAGATTGGTATAAATTGCTTTGTTTTTTTTTCCAAAATTTGATGTTTCTGATCGGAGTTAAGTGTTCCATAGAAATTCAAATCCTCTGATATTTTCTTTAGGATTTTTTTGTTCAAATGTTTAGTAATCTGGTTTATGACATTGCTTCTTGTCTATAGCTTTTAACTTGGAGTTTCGTCTATAGAGTGAATTTCTAAACCCATCGTTCACTGCTCGATAGGTATTTGCATTCATGGGAATGAGAGGAGAATCAGAATGAAGCTGGAGCTCTCTGATGCTATTAGTCATTGAAAGTCTAGAGTCATTTTGCTTGTGGCCAATTAGAAATACTTTTTTCTTTTCTTTGTCAATTTTTTCAATTGGCACTGGTATACGTTTAGTCTTACTAAGTAGATTTTCTCTTTATACTGCATGTATATGCATTTTATTATTCGTTTGAATATATTGTAAAAGAAACTTATTGTTGTTAAATATCCTTTTCTAGGAACTGACAACTTGATTTGTGGTTTTTATCAACAAAAAACAAACTCATAGCTATTAAATGCCTTTTTTAGGAACTAACAACTTGCTTTCTATATTTTTTCAAGCTATATTTTTTCCCCTTCTCCTCCATTACATGTGTCTTTTTTTATTTTTATTTTCATTCTATGCAAAAGCAAGGAGCATCTTAATGATCTTAGAGTCTCTCATTATATTGTCTTGCATTTCTTTAATAGATTATTCATATTCACTGCTTAATAAAACTACAAAAACAAAACGGTAAAGTTTTTGGTGTACCTTTGTGTAACTTTTCATACTTAATATTTGAATTTGAATCATTGGGCATTTCTGGGCAACTTTGAAAATTACACCGCTGAAAATTACACCGCGCATCGCGCGGTGTTCTCCTCCTAGTCCTATACTAAGGGGGAGGGGGTGGACCTGAAGAAGTCTAAGGGTAATCCGGAAAAAACTGAACCACTACCGGACCAGATGGGTGCACTACGCACCTGCCTGGATTTTTTAAACAAAGTCACTTTAATGTGGCAAATTAGTGGGAGGCCCTTGTCTCCCATTTCACCAAGCTTTAATGCATTGGTGGCGGTCATGAGCCCTGGGCTGGTGGTTAATGGTACACCGTATACTTGGAATTTCATTTCTAGTCAATAGATACACAGGTCAATTTTTCTGTGATCTAAGGAGACTGACCGGAGCAAAAATGTCTAGCAAATGAAATGGGCAAAAAAGAATAACAACCTACAGCTTACTTTCCAATTTATTCTAATACTCAAAGCCACGAAAGTCTTATCAAGGCAAGACTCCCAATTTGAAGAAATCATAAGCACGGCTGCACTCTCAAGCTGTTTCATCTTCTCTCACAAAACCATATAGTGACAAAGAAAAGAAAAACCAAGCACCAAGCAAATCCTCTTATCTTTAAGCCAAAAAGGGGGAAAAAAAAAAGGAGCCAGCCCTAATATGAAAGTTGAATATTCGATTTCTCACATGTTGTGCTCTCTCTCTCTCTCTCTCTTTCTCCTGCTCAATCGTTTCGTATATTTCATGGTTTTCAATAAAAAAAATTGAGTGAGTAGCGTCCCAATATGACAGCCCTAATGGAGGGAAAAATCGAGCGACCAAGGGATGATAAAGCTGAAACAGGGGGTGTTGAGGAATAACTAAACAAAAGTAGCTAATTTATTTGGCAAATGGTCGGGATTGGCAAATGATTAAACCTTTGAATCTGAATCGAAATTGAATTGATTGAACCAATTGAATCGAGAACTGGATGCTCTTCCAGTATACTCTCCAATCCGAATTTAAAAATATTGAACCTAGCAGCCTTGGCTTCGAGATTTTTATTGGGTTAGCAAACCTATAATACCCAAAAGAGTTTAGAGGTTTCAACTTGATGATCATTAGACATATTTTGATCCTATATATCTATCTTGAAAAAAATATAAGAGCAAAAAGTTACAGCTTGGTAATTGGCCCAAAATTCATCTCTATTATTTTATTTTATTTTTTAAAACCATACAAATGATTTTGTTATCATTTAATTGAAAGAATTAGAAATAAGCATATCAAAAAATATGGTGGAGACTTTATCATTTAGAATATAAATTTATCAATCATTGCTTTTCTTTAGTGTATTTTCAATTTAAACTTGTTTTCTACAACATGAGCACCATTGTCGCTCCTTTTTTATGAAAAGCTTGGAAGAGATTACGATCGAAATCTACTGCAATACTTTTTCCATCGATTTATTCTTCTTCTTTCAAAAACCATTTCTGAGTGATCCTTGCCTAAAGAGCTAAGATCTATGCTTAAACTTTCTACCGAAAATTAAAAATACCACATACTAATGCTTTTAAAAGTTTGGTTTGTTTCTGTGTTGCCTACCTCCTGTCTTCAAATTGATACTTGAGGTGCTTGAATCAAACAATTTTTTTGATCGGCTAAGTCCTCGAAATCAAACAAAAAGGAAATTATTATGGTTCTTTGATAACTTAGGTAATAGAAATTCTCTCTATCAGCCCTGGCATTATACATTGCTGTAATCTGGTAGAATTAATTGGACGACCTTTTTTCTGCAGCATTTGATGGTTTATGCATGTTAACACTAAAAAGCATAAGCAATACGTTTGTGTCTATCAGTCAATGAGTTTTACCCCCAGATAAATTGGATCATATGGTTAGTCTTTAGAGGCATCTACTGACTTCTAAAATTTAATTGATCATATGCTTTTGTTTTGCTCAGGTTTCTGCATGGTGAAGCTAAATCTAACTTCCATTGGCTTCAACCAATAGTTTAGCCTAGCAACTCAAGGATGCTGCAATCCCCTGGATATGAAAGATTCCAAGATGCTTTTAGTAAGCTCCAAAGAGAGCCATCAGTTCAGGTGAAACAATGCACATGTAGTTGTTGTCTGTGCCCTTGTCTAAAATCTCATTCTGCTGATGACTTGGTCATTTCTGCCCTTTTTGTTGTTCTTCTACTCAGAAAATTGATGTATGGTTCTAGATCGTATTTACTGTCAAAAGATATCAGCTGATAATTTGAAAGTTTCCAAAGTCATTTCCACACTAATTGTTCTTTCAGTTATGTCTCTAAAAGGTGCCTACTTAAATTGCAGAACACGGTGGTCTCAATCTCCTGTGACAAAGCTGTTTGGCACGCCATCTTGAACAACAGGGCAGTTCAGGATCTCCGAGGCTCAATCTCTGCAGGTTATACGCAACAAATTTATTTGACAAAATTTTCAAAACATATACGTTTATTCCCCTGCCTCCTCTGTTAAATCACACACAGTCATTTACCTTAGCAATATTTCATCCTACTAGGAATCTTTTAGATAATTTAAACAATTCTAGGATGAAGTTTTATAATTCATACTTGTTCATTGCTTAAAACAAAACTTTCTAGACCGTTTTTGAACTTCTTGTATTGCCTGACAAAGAACAGAGACATGTTAGCTGATGTTTGCATGCACTTGTGGCTTTACAATGACAAACGAGCTGTTAATTTCGTGAAGTTTTTTTTTTATATTGATGATTGTGTTTGAGCCTCATTTTCTAGATAGAACCTTCTGCATTTCTGATTATAAGATCCAATTATCAATTCTCTAGTAAGATTGTCAAGGAACAAAAATGAAGAAACACGAATAGTTCAACTGACTCTTCTTTCAGGCAGTTACCATGTCAAACGAAAGTAACAATATGAAGATTACAGCTTAGCAAACAAAAGACAGACCATGTTTTCTTGGTCTGTTCTTTTGTAGATTGAAGTTTATAGCTTAATTTAATGACATATATACTGTAGCAGTATTTTTTGCATCATATTCATACATATCTATTATGTGCCTAGACAATTTTCAAGAATGTTTATCGATGCATGTGTAGAACAAAAGACGCAGGCATCTAGTGAAGAAGCAGACATAGCAAACCTTATCTTGCAGTGGATTCTGGGATTTACCAAACCAAAGATTATGGCTGTGATTGAGAAAATTGGATTGATGATGGCTTGAGTTATTTATACCTGGTGACAAGGAAAAACCAACGTCAGAACTCACTGATCTTGTGGAAGAAAAGATTAGATCTTCATTACTTCTTTCAGTTGTTATTCTTCTGATTGTGGTTGTCACGCCAAACAATGGCACCTGATGAAGGCCTTCATCTTTGGACGAATGCATAAACCGGGAGTATGGTCAGTGGTGGCTCTACCATCGAGCCATATAAATTGGCTTCAACGGCTAAAGGTAGGAATGGTTGAATAGTGTACATGCAACAACATATGGACGTCAGTTTGTCAGTTAAGATTAATCTTAGATATAGTCTTTAGTCATTTTAGTTTCCCATCTGATTTCTTTTGTCATTTCTTTCTTGTAGGTTATGTGGATATCATTTTGTTTGGGGGCAAAAGACCTCGATGATCCAATGGTCCTCAAAAAACTTTTCATTTGGTGCACTTTTAGTCCTCCAACCAACTAATAAGTGTGTATATTTGGTTCTCCAACTAATAGATATGTATACTTTTAATCCTTTCGTTCGATTCTCCAGTTGAAGTAGACAGGAAACATGTCAACTACTACTCACAGGACAAACTAAGTGGGTGATTTTGTCAGCACTGCATAGAGACCAACAAAACCCTAAAAATGATAAAACTTAAACCCTGAGCTTCCACCTTCTCCCTGTGTGTCAAATCTTCAGAAAAGCAAAGCAAAGAAAGTAACGATTAAAATGAAATTCAGACTTGCAAATCTATCGTGACGCGGATGGGAACCCAACTCAAAGATGCCCTTCAAAGCAGAGCTAAGACACTGATGTATTTATTTCAGAAAATGATGGTGGAAAAAGAGAGAGAGAGAAAGAAAAGGCTCATCCTTTTGAGTGTAAGCAAGTCTAATATCCATTCTCTGGAATAACCTGTCAATCATGCTCGCTTCTAAACAAAGAAAGAATAGATGTAACGTAAATGCAGCAAAAGAAACTTTTCTTGTGTTCATAATTCAACCACAATGCTGCCTTTGTGGAGAAGTAAAACTAAGTACTTTCTAGCCAGGGAAGGAACATTAGCAGTACAAGAATTTGCTGGACTAATTACACTTGCAAATCGATTTTTAGTACGATTGCTATCAGTATATGGCAAGTGTTGGAGAATTTGCTGTACTTAGTTTTCCAGAGAGGAGGATATTCCTCCGAATTGGTGGAAAGTAATGAAATTTTAGTCGAGTTCGTCAATGATGCCATCAAAATCGATGCTGCTAAATTTTTGCCGCAGTTTGCAAGTATAAAGAGCAGAGGTAGTAGAAAGTAGTAGAGAGGAGCTTTGTGTAGTTGAATGAAATTGATTTTTTTTCTTTTTTGGTAAATAAAGATGCATTAAAATAAAGTGAATTCTACGGAGTAATAGTTTTAGTTTTTTTTTTTTTATTGATAGAAGAAATTGATAAGAGGCGGGTGGTATGGACTCCTGTGTTTTGATTGAGACTTGTTTGCATAAAGTTATCGTACCACCCCAGTCTCAATCCAAACACACGAGTCCATAGCACCCGTCTCTTATCAATTTCATTCAACTTACTTTTGCAAGATTTAAACGACGTCACCACTGTACTTAACTATTACTCCGTGTTCTATCAAAAAAAAAAAAAACTATTACTCCGTAGAATTCACTTTATTTTAATGCATCTTTATTTATCAAAAAAGAAAAAAAATCAATTTCATTCAACTACACAAAACTCCTCTCTACTACTATCTACTACCTCTGCTCTCTATACTTGCAAACTGCGGCAAAAATTTAGCAGCATCGATTTTGATGGCATCATTGGCGAACTCGACTAAAATTTCATTACTTTCCACCAATTCAGAGGAATATCCTCCTCTCTGGAAAACTAAGTACAGCTCCAATTTTAGGGCTGCAAACAACTTCGTTATTAGCCCACAAGTGCATCTAAAATGTTCTCATGCTGGAGAATTTTAGAAAGCCCTTTTACGTGAACAACTTGAGATGCCATTATTAACCTGATAAAATCAGATCATAGCATATTTTCCTACTTCCATGATTAAAATTTAGAAAAGGAAGAAGGTGCATGTGCTTTGAGAACATGAATTCACTAAAATGTTCTTGTCAATGATATTAACCGCAGAATGCATTTTCCAAGCCCATTATCCTAGAAGAGCATAGAAACTATACATCTTCTGAATCCTGGAACGCCTTGAGAAGTTAATTTGTTGCTATCAAAGACAAGACTGAACTTCAAAAGAGGTATTGAATAAACTAATCACAAGATCTAACAGTAAGAGAACAGCATTGGTGTGTAGTCTACTTATTCCTCCAGGTTATATATCACACTTATCTGAGAACTGTGACGAGCTTCTATCATTGCAGGACCTTGGCTAGCAAGCTTCTGCTTGCGCGAAGAGAATTCTTCTGCCTAAGGAGGAGTGAAGAGTCAGCAGCATATTAGCAAGAAAGGGTCAGTGTATCTGTCCATCCTCAACGTCTAGGAGTTGTGCACATAATAGGAAGCATTCAGGTGGGAAAATGAAGTTTCTGCAAAACAGGTATGTACAATGATCTCCACAAACACGATAGCCATCAATACGTGCATTAATGAAAGAGTGACCTGCAGTCATGGAAAACTGGAGAACCTGATACCACCAAGGAATATTGCTCCAGATATTGAAAAGATAATGTTTATGGCTTATTTAGTGAGCTTATCCAATGAAAGGCAAAGAAAAGATGTTAGAAAGATGCAGATGGAGAACAATCAGGAAGGACAAAACGTTTTTAATTGCCGTTTCATTTGCAGCAAGTAAAATCAATCTCATCAAAAGTAAAGAGGAAGAAGAAAAGAAGGGACCTAGAAAAAAATTGAGATGCAACTGTTACTCTATTAGTCTCAGCGAATTACAATGGTTCAAGGGAAGAAGATCTCACGAAGAACCTTTCAACTAACTTAATTGGAAAGAGCAAGCCACTTAAATTTCATTATAATTTATTCCACTTCTTTCATGCCACTGCTACACAATGAAAGTCATAAAGTGCACAATATTAACCCTAAATCCATGAAAAAACATGTGTGTATTTGGTTTAGTCTAATAACGATTTTCGTAATCATGTGTGTAGGAAAAAACAAATTAAAAGTTGTCTAAAGTTTCTGTTGCAGAAACAGTCAAGGACAAAAAGTAACACTGCTTACCTTGTTGTGGTATTCGAGGTTAATTCCTATTAATTGACAACAATATGTAAACTAAGAAAAATGGAGAGAAAAAATACTTTTCTTCTATTTCACTTTGGACTACACAATATACAAATATATATATACACAAGTGGATACTATAATCATATGATACTATAATCATACTATTACCTAATTAATATATGATACTATAATCATATGATACCTAATTAATATATGATACTATAATCAAATCTTTCCTAATATTTATATTATCAAATCTTTCCATAATATCAGATCACATATCTTCAACACTCCCCCTCAAGCTGGTGAATATAAATCTTCCATTCCCAGCTTGACAACACTTTCATGAAACATGTTGCTACACAGTCCCTTTGTCATCACATCTGCAAGTTGAAGTCCTGTCGGAACATATGGAGTACAAATCAGTCCACTTTCTAGCTTCTCTTTAATAAAGTGCCTGTCTATCTCTATGTGCTTCGTCCGATCATGTTGCACTGGGTTGTGAGCTATACTTATAGCAGATTTGTTATCACAATATAGCTTCATCGGTTTGCTCCATTGAATCCTCAAGTCTTCTAGGATAATTTTAACCCACAATAATTCACATACCCCTGCTGCCATAGCCCTGAACTCTGCTTCAGCACTTGACCTTGCTACCACACTTTGTTTCTTGCTTCTCCAGGATATTAAGTTTCCTCCAAGAAATGTACAATATCCTGAAGTTGATCGCCTGTCAACTGGAGACCCTGCAAAGTGTGCATCTGTGTAAACTGCCAGATCAATTTCAGGACCCTTTTTGAATAAAATTCCCTTCCCTGGATGTGCCTTTAAGTAATGAAGCACTCGATAAACTGCTTGTAGATGAACTGCTCTAGGATCATGCATAAACTGACTAATAACACTGACTGAGTAAGCTATATCTGGCCTAGTATGTGCGAGATAAATGAGTTTTCCAACAAGTCTTTGGTACATCTCTCTGTCCACAGCTGTATCTCCATGAGCCTCACTTAATTTGTGATTCTGCTCAATGGGAGTTCCAACTGGTTTGCTTGCTGTCATGCCTGTTTCCTTGAGCAGGTCCATAACATACTTCTGTTGAGAAATAAAAATTCCCTGCCTTGATCGAGCCACTTCAATTCCCAGAAAATACTTCAATTTTCCTAAATCCTTTATTTCAAATTCCTTGGCTAGGCACCACTTCAAAGTTTTCTTCTCTACTTCATCGTTTCCTGTCACTATGATGTCATCTACGTATACAATCAAAACAGTAACTCCCCCCAAGGCTGAATGCTTGATGAACAGGGTATGATCTCCTTGACTTTGCTTATAACCATTAGCTATCATTACCTTGGCAAATCGTCCAAACCAAGCACGTGGGGATTGTTTCAGCCCATATAATGCCTTTTTTAACCGACAAACCTTGTTCTTGTCAACCCCACTGAATCCCGGTGGAATGCTCATATAAATCTCCTCTTCTAACTCTCCATGAAGAAAAGCATTCTTCACATCGTATTGCTGTAATTCCCAATCAAAATTAACAGCCAAGGATAGCAGAATTCTCACTGTATTCATCTTTGCTACTGGAGCAAATGTTTCCCGATAATCTACTCCATATGTCTGTGTGTATCCTTTCGCGACTAACCTTGCCTTGTAGCGTTCTAGGGACCCATCTGCTTTAAACTTTACTGCATACACCCATTTACAGCCCACTACTTTCTTGTTCTTTGGTAAATCAACTAATTCCCAGGTCCCATTCTTCTCTAATGCATCCATTTCTACTTCTATAGCAAGTCTCCATTCTTTCTTTGATAATGCTTCAGACAATGAGCTAGGAATAGAGACTGTATTTAAGGTGGAAAGGAAGCTTTGATGGCTCGGGGAAAACTTCTCAAAAGACACAAAGTGAGACAATGGATATAGGGGTCTTTTGGTGCATTCTCGGGGTTTTTTCCTTACAGCAATAGGTAGATGTAGGTCCTGGTCAAGGCTAAGAAGCTCAGGACAAGGTGATTTAGAGCTGGAAGAATGGTCGGTCGGTGGTGTAGAATTCAGATTTGATTCACTCATTGTTACCTCATTCCCGGAGCTTGGTTTAGAGGATTGTTCTTGCCTTGTAACCACGATGGGATCTCCTTTCCTTGTATACACTTGGTCAAACCGGAACCAGTCAAAGATTTTACGGTCTTCCTTTTTTTCTTCTACCACATCAGATTGAAGAATTGACTCTTGGAATTCAGATTTGGATGACTCAGATGTGGTCAACTCTAAGGAGGGAAATTTTAACTCCTTATCTTCAAGTGTATCTAACTCCCCCTGAAGATAAGGAGTGATGAAATAGGGCTTATTTTCAACAAATGTAACATCTGCCGAGACATAGAGTTTTCTAGTAGGTGGATGATAACATTTGTAACCCTTTTGAGTAGATGAGTACCCCACGAAGACACACTTAAGAGCACGAGGATCTAACTTCCCACGGTTATGACTATGGACATGAACAAAGGAAGTACATCCAAAAACTCGAGGAGTGAGATTAAAGGAAGATCGAATATCGGGGTAAAATTTGGATAGGTTCTCTAGTGGACTTTGAAACCCCAAGACCTTGGAAGGAATTCTATTTATGACATAAGCTGATGTGAGTACAGTTTCTCCCCAATATGCTTTTGGCACACTTTGTTCAAACAGTAAGGCACTAGTGCACTCAAGAAGATGTCGGTTTTTCCGTTCTGCCACTCCATTTTGTTGTGGAGTGGCAATACAGGATGATTCATGTATGATTCCTTCTTTTTGGAAAAACTGACTCAAGGTTTGATTGAAATAATCACGAGCATTATCTGAACGAAAGTGTTTTATCTTGGTGCCAAATTGATTTTGAATCATTGCATGAAAAACAGGGAAAATATAACTCAAATCAGACTTATTTTTGAGTAAATAGATCCAAGAGACTCTTGTGCAGTCATCGATAAATGTGACAAACCACTTAGACCCTGAGATGTTTGGAATAGTTGATGGCCCCCAAATATCACTATGGATTAAAAAGAAAGGAGAAGACGATCATTTATTACTGATAGGAAATGGGACACGAGTGTGTTTAGCATACTCGCAAATATCACAATGAAAAGACTGAACATCAAATCCCTTGAACAAGGAAGGAAACATTATTTTTAATGCAGAAAAAGACACATGACCTAGACGTCTATGATGTAACCAGATGACATCTTTATTGGAGGGTGAAGACAATGTGGACAGGGCAGATTTACTAAATTCTGGTTGACTTGATGTATCCAAGTAATAGAGTCTATCATGCTCCTTAGCTAGTCCAATCCTCTTCCCCGAGCCCCGGTCCTGAAAGTCACAACAGGATTCATCAAATATAACAGAGCCAGCTAGATCCTTGGCAAGTTTTTTTACAGAAACCAAATTTGTAGATAATCGAGGAACATGAAGAACATTTTTAAGAATCAAATTTGGAGTAACTTGGACATCTCCGATACCTGCCACAGTGGTTGTAGTACCATCTGCAACAACAATCTTTCTATTGCTAGGACAGGGATTATAGGTTTTGAATTTATTTGAAATATGAGTCATATGGTCCGTAGCACCAGAGTCAAGAATCCAGACATTCCTAAGCTCATTGCCTAAAACACTAAATGCAAAAGAGACTAGAGCCTTACCTGAAAGTGTCAATGAACACATACCCGGATTCCTTGATTGAGAATTGTTAGTTGCTGGTTTGTCAACTGTCTCTAACATACTTTTAAGCTTCTCAATTTCCTCCATACTAAACCCTCCAATCACTTGAGTTGGATCTTGAACCGACATATGAGCCTGCCTTTGCTGGCCACCTTTTTGTCCCCATTCACGAGTGGGTGGTTTCCCATGTAGTTTCCAGCATTGATCTATGGTGTGTCGTGGTTTCTTGCAGTATGTGCACCACAACTCCTCGCGATTCTTTTGCCCACTTGTTTGATTGGTCTTGTCCGCAGCAACCTTGTTCAGTACCAACCGCTGAGATTTGGAACTTAAAAGGGCTGAATTTTCTATTGAAGGTAGCTCTAACATAATACCCCTGCGACTTTCTTCTCCACGTACTTGGGATATTGCTTCTGTTAAAGAAGGAAACTCTGGCCTGCCCAGAATTTGAATTCGTACAAGATCGAATTCAGAGTTTAGGCCAGCCAAAAAATCATAAACTCGATCCCTTTCTATGAACTTCTTGATAAACACTGCACATTTGCTACAGTTCAAAGCAAGTGCCCTGTAATAATCCAGTTCCTACCACTGGTTTTGCAGAAAATTGGCATACTCCGTCACTGTTTTTGTTCCTTGTTTTGCTCCAGTTGTCTTTGTCTTGATGTCATAGATAAGAGCTGCATCATTAACCTTGGAATATGTCTGATGAAGGGCATCCCAAATTGCCTTTGCTGTAGGAAGAAACATACATGTATCGCTGATTTCAGGAATCATGGAATTCCATAACCAAGACATGATCATTGAATCCTCTTGTTCCCATGCTTCAAACCCCGCCGTTTCACTATCCGGTGCTATTTCCAATAGATGACTCAACTTTCCTTTTCCTTTCAGGAATGTTCGAACCAATTGAGACCACTTCAAATAATTTTTTCCATTTAGTCTATATGCTGCCTGGATGTTTTGAAGCTCTGTTGTGTTCCGTGTACTTTGTTCTTCTTCCATAGTTGAAGACAATTGCCGCGTTGAGGATGTAGCATCCGCCATGATTGAATAGGAGGGGGGGAAAAAAAATGTATAGTAACAGGAACAGCAATGAAGGCTGGAGAGAATAAGAAAGGAACCAGCAATTAAGGCTGGAATTGACAAGAAGCAAAGGTGGTATTTTTCCCAGAACCCTAGACGGGCTCTGATACCATGTAAACTAAAAAAAATGGAGAGAAAAAATACTTTTCTTCTATTTCACTTTGGACTACACAATATACAAATATATATATACACAAGTGGATACTATAATCATATGATACTATAATCATACTATTACCTAATTAATATATGATACTATAATCATATGATACCTAATTAATATATGATACTATAATCAAATCTTTCCTAATATTTATATTATCAAATCTTTCCATAATATCAGATCACATATCTTCAACACAATATATTAGTGAAAAAGATTGCATTTTAAAAAATTATAAAAAGGAAGAAACAAAAGAAACCAAAAAGGAAAATTGGAGCCAAATCCAGGACCACCTATGACCTAATCTTTTTGGTAATAGTACATTAATAGATGTTATGAGTTTATCTTGACAATTTTGCTCTTATTATTATTATTATTATTATTTTTTGTAACCCAGAATATGTTCCAACCCGAGTCCTTTGAATCCTAGCCGACACATTAAACTAGAGGGAACGCTGCGGCTCCAAGTACAGTTTTTCTGGACAAGTCACAAGGTATTTAACCGAACAGGTTCGATCTCAAGACCTTTGTATTCCAAGGGACCGCTACTACCACTGGATCAACCCGTGGGGGCAATTTTGCTCTTATTAGGTGGCCCCTTCTGCTGTGTATCAAGATATTAATGGCTGTCAAGTTTGTTTAGATATTATCATGCCAGAAATGTCTTAAAAGCAGCTGCATCTCGGAGGAGTTGCATGAGAGGAAAAAACCAAACATATAGAGAATAGAATTTTTGTCTTGTGGGGTAGAAAGTAGAAAATATATGTGATAAAGGAAAGTTGAAGACTTAAGTCTCTGGAATTGAAGTTGAGGTCCAAGGCATGGGATTTCTTGCAGCAATTTATGAATGCTAGTACAATCTTTTGCCTTATAGGGTAGAGGTCATGAAAGACAAGCAAGACCAGAGAGGTGTTATTGGTATGTGGTTAGTTCTTCTTCAAGGCTCTTAAGCCTCCCCACTTCCCTTTCTCCCCATAAGCTTGTTCCCACATCGGTGGTATAAGTATGTGTGTGTAGGATTTAAGGTGCTCAGGATTTATCCAGAAGTCAGCAATTGCCTTTTGGGTAAACCTGTGGAATTGCCTTAGATTCTGTGTGTGTGTTTATTATTTACTGTTGAAAGGCAGAGGTCATGAAAGAGGTTAAAATTAGGAAATGTTATTTGCGCTCCATTTTTTGTTATTTGCAATCCCATCATTTGTTCCATCATATAGTTTAATAAAGGGTTAATCGCACTTTATCCCATTTAAGTATAGGCCGTTTCTCACTTTACCCCCCAACGTTTGTTTTTCCTCAGTTTACCCCTTCCGTCAGCAATTGCACCGTTAAAAACTTTAAGATTTCGAATTTACCGTACGAAAAGGGCCGTTGGTTTTAGCAGACAACAATGCCCCTCAATGGTGTCTGATGCTTTTAGCCTACCTTTTCCCTCAAAGAGCCGTTGGTTGGTTGGTTTTAGCCGTTGGTTGGGTTTTATAAAAGGAGGTATTTTGCACCCAATTTTTCTCATACATTCTCAAAGGTTCCAAAGTTTCTAAAATTTCTCTCCAAAGTTCCTAAAATTTCTCTTTGTCAACCAAAAGCATCATAAAATGTCACAAAGTGCTTCAAATGATGTTGGAAGATCACCCCAAAAAATGTGTAGATGTGGTAAAGAGGCACCATTGTGCACGTCTTGGACACTTGAAAATCCGGGAAGAAGATTTTACGGCTGCTCAAATTACAATGTAAGAATTTTTCATTAATAATTTGTTAATATTGTCTTTAATTTTGCTCTATACCTGAATTAGTTAGAAAGAGTTTAAACAACTAATTATTTTTTTAATTTAGAACCGACACGCATGTGGGCACTTTGAATGGGTAGATCCTGAAGTATGTAGCCAAACAAAAGAAGTAAGTGCAGTGCTGCAATCTAGATTGCTGGAGCAAAAGGAGAAACTAATGTACTTGCAAAGGAAGCATGAAAAATTGGCAAATGAGCATGAGAAATTGAAAAGCAGATATGAAGCCTTAAAAACAGAAGTCTGCGTCTTACAAGTTGAAAACCAACAGCTACAGCAACAATACATGATGGTCAAAGCTGCTCGATTTTCATCATGGAGAAAAACACTAGCCATTACATTTCTGATTGCTAGCATTTTGTATATGTACTCTATTTCAGAACCAAAAAGTAACAAAAATCTGCTTTATCTACCATAGTTGTAAGCAAATATGTATGAAAGAAAGTTATATTAAGTTAAAAGTATTTTACACATCAGATTACATCTTAGCATGTGTCTGCATGGCCACCCAAACAAAGGCCATTTTAGTAGAACCCAGCCAAAACATGATTCTAGAACATGTCCAAATAATGGGAAAAGAAAAACAACATCAGCATTTCTAACATTGCTGCAAAGGTAACTTCAAATACTAGTAATGACAAAAATAGCAACAGCAACACCATTTCACATCAAAACACATTCAGGTGTGCGCATAACTGTTGAACGTCCAGTTGCAGCAGTTGAAGATCCTTGGGTAGAAAACACAGCATCTCCAAATCTAATACTCTTGGTTTGAACCTACATGGATGAGGGGCATCTTAGTGCATCAAACTACTACTAGGGGTGGTAGCATGTAAACATAGCCAAAAGACTTGAACTCACCATTCCAGTTTTAGTAGCACCTGAATTGGTTTTAGAACTTCCAGTTTTAGCATCACCCAACTTGGTTCTTGGTCTTTTAGTTGTTACTGAAGTGGTTGCTTTTGAACTTGTACATGGTACGCTGGTGGGAGCAACAACAGTAGTTGAACTCAAATTGGCACCAGATGTAGGTGTTCTTGTCCACTGTATCATCAATAGGAAACAATAAGTGAGCACGTATAAAATGGCCATGCATGCAGAGTTTTAAAATGTAGGCTTACCAGTTGGATTGGAGGGGGCTGGCCAGTCTTTGAAGTACTTGGAATCTGCATAATAAAGGTAGTTTTTAATCATTGCAAGTGTCTAAAATTAAATTAGTTACATACAAATACAAAAGGAACTCACCATGCTAGACTCAAATGGGATATATGTTTTACTTGTTGATATCCCTTGACCATTCCAAAGTCCAATGCCACATAGTGGCCCATTGTTATGGTCTGAACCCCTACCCTTACCCCTGCCCCTACCTCTACCTCTCATTTTAGCTCTAGTTGGGCCTCTTGCAGTTGTAGATTTAGTCACATCAGCATTTTGCACAACATCAGCATCAGTATTTCTCTCAACAGCAGCATCAGCATTTGTAGAGTGGCCTCTACCAGCTCCTCTTCCTCGTTTAGTAGGCCCTTGCATCTTGCAATACATCAAAAAATGACAGTCAGATGTAGATAGAAAAAAGCCAAGCAACATATATTGATTGAAGTTACCTGTGCAGTCACTGATTTTCTTTGCCTCACAAATGAACAACCAGTGACCTTGCAACTTCTGGCATTGTGGTCAGTATGACCACAATGACTGCAGTGAATTGGCAGCCCTACTTTAGATAGTTTTCCAACATGTAAGTCCTCCAATGGAGCCTTTTTTCTAACTTTCTTAGGCCTGCCTGGAGCTATCTTCCTACGAGGTGGGAGTAATGTATCACTGCTAACATTCACCCAATTTGTTTGGTCTGGCATAGGCATAACAACACCAGCATATGCCTTTACATATGTTTCTACTGAGTAGCAATTATCAACATATGCATATGGATCTTTGTTGTCTTGCACAAGTCCAGCACATGCATGGACACATGGAATTCCTGTCATATCCCACTCATTACATGTGCAAGACCTTTGAACTGCATTAACAGCAAAAGTTCCTACTATACCAGTCACCTCATACACCTCTCTTGTAGACACAAGTGCATCAAACTGAGCTACCTGTTTTTTCCTCTCTTCAATTTTCTGACAGATCCTCGGACAAATATGAGACTTCACCTTCTGAATCCAGTCTCTTTTTTCTTGAAATCTGCACATAATCTGTCTTCGAATGGCCTCAAACATAGTCAAAATAGGCTCTTCCCTAGCATCCTTAATGTATTGATTGAAGCTCTCACATATATTATTACTTAAAAGGTCACATTTTGTCCTTGGAGAAAAGGTGTGTCTGGCCCATAGGTTAGTTGGTATGGAACTAAGCCATGCATGTGCTTCTGGGGCTACTAAATGTAACTCTCTCATTTTGCTTTCATAATGACAGGGTAAATAAGCCCTGGCTGCCCCCCACATTAAATCTCTTAGGTGCTTATCCTTGAATTTCAGTTTGAAATTAGCATACATGTGTCTAACACAGAATCGATGCTCCACTCCAGGATACTTATTCTCAATGCAATCAATTAATCCCTGACATAAAAACATAAATAACAGAATTAGTGAAAGGAGTGAGTGAGGAATAAAGGAAAGTAAATCAGATTGTAGTGGTGCTGACCTTTTGTCTATCTGATAGAAACACCCAACCCCTTTCAATTGGAGTGCCAATGGCATCAGTAAGGCTGTCCAAAAACCACCCCCAACTATCTTTGCATTCAGATTCAACAAGTGCCATAGCAATTGGGAACATCTGGTTATTAGCATCCCTACCAATTGCAGACATAAGCTGTCCTCCCATGATCCCCTTAAGGTGACATGCATCCAGTCCTATTACAGGCCTACATGCATTTACAAAACCTTCTTTTTGTGCAGTAAACATCACAAACATTCTCTTGAAGATTGGACTTTTACAAATATTGGACTTTTCAGTTACAATAAATGCCACTGAACCTGGATTTCTTTGTAAAAGTGTAGCACAATAGTCTCTTAATCTTGCATACTGCTTTGCACATGACCCTTTCACTGCTTCCTCTGCTTTCTCTCTTGCTCTATACATTTGAGAGTTTGTACAGTTCAGGTTATACTTCCTTTTTATGCTCTTCTTGAACCCTTTTACTTTCATATCCGGATGGTCAGCAATGTCCTCCATAAACATCCTAGACAGCCACCTAGAATTTGCACTCTTGTTCTTGAAAGACCATGGACATCTATGAGGTACGCCTTTAATGGACTTCACTTGAAGTGTAACTTTGCTTCCATTATAGCCACTAGCATATATTCTCCATCCACATTTATTTGAACATATAACCACAGCTTTATCTTTGTCATTCTTAGTGAAGGTAACTTCAAATCCATTCAAAATTGAATACATTCTAACTGCAGCTCTAAAATCATAAATATTGCTAAAAATTCTGCCTATAGTCAATTCAGGATTTTTTAGATCCCTTTCCATGTTAAACTCAGGAAATTCATGCTCCATGCCTTCATCATTTGAATCATAAACTGGTTTAAGTATTTCATCATCACTAACATCTTCATCATCGACCAGTTTTCCATGACCTTTGGAGTTAAGGTATGCATTATATTCTTCACTAATCAGTGCCACATACTTAGCATAATCAGTCTGTTTTAGGTGACAATCTACTTCACCACCATCCCTCTACATCATCTATAGGGTCACATGCGTCATTTAAATCATCCCCATCTAGGAAAAAATCAAAGTCAGAGTCATATTCAACTTCCCTACAACCATCCCTATCACCTTCTTGTGAAGGATCTGAAGCATCACTTTCGGCCTCATCATTTTGGGGTTGATCAGCATTAGGATTTAGATTTTGTTTTCCATTAACCTCAATATTATCCTCTGCAACAGTTCTATCAGCATGCAAATCTTCTTCAGGGATCTCACCAACATAAAGTTGTATGATGTTTTGAGTTCTATTTACCTCAAACATTTCTATAACAATCTGGTCACTGTTTAACAGTTTAAGACCAACCTTAAAGTCAAGATTCCTAACCCTATAGTACACCTCTGTTTCATGTGATATTCCAGCATCTTTAAAAGCATCTCTTAACTCAAAAATTGACATCAAATCAGGGTCAACATCATCAAAATTAGCAACTTCTCCCCCCACATACTGTAAATTTGGGACATAGGCAAAATGGCCTCCGTAGTGAACCTCTAAAACATAGGTTTTGAAGTCCATTCTTCTGTAATCACACAAAGGTAATTGTTTTTAGTGCATGCACAGGTAATACAGAGCAAGTATCTTTTATTGTCCCACAAAAATAAAAAATCCTAGTTTGTCTATCTAACAGCCAACATATAACCATCCAAATAAACAAAAAATCCAGCAAATTAATAATTAAAAAAGACAAACCCATCGTTTTCCATCCTAACCCGACAATGACTTGTTATGAACTTTAAGGGACCACACTAACAGATTTCAAACAAATAATTGTCTACATATTAAAGCCCATGCAGTCATTAAAAAAACCCATACCATTGTTTCTGTGCAATAAAATTGATTAACAATTACAAATTTCTAAAATCGAGAAAAAATTGCAAAATCGAACCTCATAGATCTGCCCAAGCTCTCATAATCTCCTTTCACAATCTTCAAATTCAATTCTGCCGTCTGTTAACAACCACATCGATTACCCATTTTTTCATTCAAGATTGCACCAGAATTTTCAATTTTGTTAGTGGACGTTTTGCTAAGGCTTCGGGCACCAGTGAAGAGAAAGTAACCCGACAAAGAAAAAAAGGAAGAGAAAGTGACCCGACATAGTCAAAAGGGGACCTTTGTCTGTTCTGTTCCCTAATTTCTTTTTCTTTTTCTGTCCCATGCCAGATGGAGGGAAATTTCCCTCCATTATTTCAGGGTAATTTTGGAAACTTGCATTTCATAAACCAGCGTATATGGGTATTTTGGGTTGTTCAATGTTTTCATAAGGATATTATTGTCTTTTCAATATTCCGTTTATGTCAATTAGAGTTGACTGTTAGTTTTTGGGGTAGACTGAGGAAAAACAAACGTTGGGGGGTAAAGTGAGAAACGACCTATACTTAAAGGGGATAAAGTGCGATTAACCCTTTAATAAATGAAAACTATACGATTGAAATGATAGTGGAAGTGTAATTAACAAAAATAAGAGTGCAAGCAACATTTCCCTGAAATTATAGTAAAATGTTATAGACCCAAGGCATGGAATTCTTGGTACAATATAAACATAATGGTCGATTGAAATTTTGAGAGTGACGGTTTGAAAACTAGTTCCCAAACAATATAATCACCTTAGAATAATAAAAAAAATTCTAAACTTCAATTCTTAATCTGGCAAAATTCTTCTCTATAGCTAATTCTACTAATTTAGAAAATGAGTTTTTCATCAAAGTAACCATCAAAAATTTATTTTAACCCCAAAGAAAAAACCATCGAAATTTACAAATTTCTAAAACACAATTACGCGATTTAATTCCAAAACTGCAACTGTAACAAAAATAAATAATACAAAAAATATAAGGGCATAATAGGAGTTCCCGATACTAACATTCAATTGAGAGCTCATTTGGATCAGTGGGTTGGAGGGAGCCCTAATTCCCAGACGGAAGATTTTCATTTCATGGAAGACGCCAGCCAGCCAGAAGTGTCTCGTCCTTCGCTGCGGCTGGTGCTGTGCGAGCTCATAATCCTCCTGGCCCAACCGCGACGTATAGCAGACCCAGCTAAAACAGCGCCAGAGCCACAGGCGACACCTATGAGATAATTCACAGTAAACATCGCCAATTGCTTGTAGGGATGCATCGATCGGCCTTACGAATAAATAATACAAAAAATATAAGGGCATAATAGGAGTTCCCGATACTAACATTCAATTGAGAGCTCATTTGGATCAGTGGGTTGGAGGGAGCCCTAATTCCCAGACGGAAGATTTTTTGCTACTTCATCCTCTCTCCACGGAGTTCCCTTGGATTCTATTCGCATTAGATCTCTGTGGTCTCTCTCGTAAGGCCGATCGATGCATCCCTACAAGCAATTGGCGATGTTTACTGTGAATTATCTCATAGGTGTCGCCTGTGGCTCTGGCGCTGTTTTAGCTGGGTCTGCTATACGTCGCGGTTGGGCCAGGAGGATTATGAGCTCGCACAGCACCAGCCGCAGCGAAGGACGAGACACTTCTGGCTGGCTGGCGTCTTCCATGAAATGGGTCTCATATTTCCGTGCTTTGAATGTTAAGGCTATGATTAGCCATTAGATATTAGATGCTACTTATTTCAACCCTATATTTCTTGTTAAAAAAAAAAATTTGAGAGCTCATTTGGTGAACATAGGGTTGTGATCTCCATGTTGCACACATAAATTTTCTTTTCTCCAAATGAGCCCGAAATTCCGTTTGAATTAGTTTTTTGGAATATTTTTGAAAAACTTTGCTGTAGCAGAGTTTTTAGAGTATATTTTGGAATATTTTTAGAAAATATTTTGAAATATTTAAAAGTAGAAGAGTTTTTAGAATATATTTTGAGATATTTTTTAAAATTTTAAAAAAAATTAAACTAATTTTTAGATTACTTGTAGCGTACTTTTTAAAAATTTTTATTGTATTTAAAAAATTAATTTTTGAAAAACACTCCGAAAACAGGAGAACCGGCGAAGTCCATTTATTTATTTACTTCTTTTGCCTGCGATTGCTTCATTTATGGCCTGTTCACAAAAGCCTCTGAAAGATGTGACCATGTTTAGAGAGAAATTAAAGGAAGGCTATTGGGATGATTATGTATATCTGATTATTCGGTTGTGTATGGTGTCAGCAGTTCATGCTTCATGAATGCTAGAAACAGAATGGCTAAATTTCGGAGATTTATGTCTTGGTGAGTTGAGATTTTTGATGATCAGTAGCCTGCTTTTCAGTTTTCACCTGTCTTGTTTGGCAATTGATACAATTGGGGAAAATAAATCAAGAAAAGCAAAGCATAAAACAAGGGAAAAACTAACAGGGAAGCACAGCATTTGCAAGACTGTTAAGCATGAAACTTGCAGGCATCTGTGATGCTAACACTACTCTTGATATCATTACCTTTGATTAGCATTTTGTACCACTAAAATCCTGATTGAAAGATGACTGGTTATCATCAGACTTGTATTCATTGAATGAATAAAGAACTTTACAGTGAGGTTTTTCCTATAAGATCAGTTGCCATTTGATGGAATACCTGAATACAAAAATCTCCACTGCTAAACCTGCACTTGAAGCTAAACTCATTTTTATGCTATATATTGAATCATCTTAGTACCTATAAACTCGCGAACAAGTTAAAGTACAGCAGGTGTATTACTACTAGCATAAATGTATCAGTTTGCAACTTTTTCTCGCATCCATTTTGTAGCTGACCATTTCTCTCCTCCCAATACTTCACATCCTCCATGTATGCTATTGGGGTCTGATTCTCCATCAAGCCCCTACAAGAACCAAAAAGAGAAATTGATGAAAGCCACAAGAACTCATCATGCTATCTCTAGTTCATCTAAAGAGTATTGTTTCTTTAAAAGGGCAGAATTAATTTCTGACACATGATGACACAATGAATGCTACAGAGTGCTGCAAAGATTCTGTTGATTTAACTAAATAAAAAAACTGGTCCGGATCAAAAACCCAGATCCCTAAGACATACAGGAAAATGATCCCAAATGTCATAGAGCTTAAATTGCTGAGCTCAATTTTCCTATTATGAAGGTCTCGCAAAGCACCTAATGCTGCTGAAGCTTCTTTCTGGTCATTGATCGGAAAATTTGTATAGTTCTTAATTCCCAGAACTTAAAATTCAATGCCTAATGAGGCCCCCAAACTGCTGAGGCCCTCAAATACATGCACCCACCAAATGACAGATTCAGTTCTTTCCACTCAAACTACTACTAGCTAATTCTCTTATCCAAGAAGCAACTATACTGAGAAAAGCTTAAATGTGAGACTCAAACCAAAGCAGGACATCCTGCCCCTACCAGTGAGCTACTTCAAGGAGCAAATTATTACTTTTTGGCAGTCTATTAGTCATTTCATATATAAAGTCAGTCTTTACAAAGGGAATAATGATTAACAATTGGTAGAAAACAAACCATGCTCCAGAAAAGTACAGCATCTCCTTTAGCAGGTTTTATGCACAAGCCTTTAACCATTTTCCCACCGCAGCTACATTCCCCTGTACCAGCCTGATATCAACAAAAATTACACCCAAAATAAGTAATGTAGCTGAAACTTGAAGAAAACAGGCTAATTGACGGATGGATAAGAGTGGATATGTGGCATATAGATGACTCGTCAAAAGTTCTCAGATAACAATCACAAGTGCTGGAAAAAAGTCAATAGAGCAGTCAAAAAGCTCGTAATTGCAGAAACTTTTTTAATTTTCCTTTTTTTTTGCCTAGTCATTGCAGAATTCATGTCTAAATTGACTATTATCTCCTCCAATATCACCTAAGCTTTTAG